TGTAGACCCCGGGTGATTCAAAGAGAATCACCTGGGGGTGATTCGACTTGCCAGAGGGTGCTCGCGAGCGCACCCATCGGGTGTAGCCCTCGAGCCCCTAGGTGATTTGGATAGAATCACCGGAGAGAATCGCCGATGGTGTATTTCGATTCGCTAGAGGGTGCACGCGAGCGCACCCATCGGGTATAGCCCCGAGCCCCTAGGTGATTCGGATAGAATCGCCAGGGGGTGATTCAGACCCTTCGTGGGTATGACTATGAGATTTGGTGTTTTTGATAACTAGATAGTCCGATTGGAGTTTCGGTATCCTGTTTGTGGGGATTCGGCAAGGGTCAGCCTGGCTGAGACTCAACCATGGGCCAAGATGGCCGTGGCGTTTAGCGCGCCTAGGATTTGACCACTTGCGGGGGCCACTCCTTTCCATCCCTTATCATAGGAGGGCTTGGAGTGGCCGTCAAACCAGTTGATGGGCCAACCATCGATCTCCTAGGCCTAGACGGGCCGTAGAGGCGCTTTCTCGATCCGTATTCTTCTTGCTCATAACGAGTCCCGGTTTGCTTGGGGAGGCGAAACGTCCGGTGGGTTTTTCGAAGGAAAGGATATGGATGGCGTGCACATATCTCGCGATCATGATGTTGTGGCAGATCATGGTAGGTGTGGAGATTGAGGTGGACGGCTGGTTTCCTCACATCCATCGCCCCTATAAAACCAAAGGGTTCGTTCCTAGGGTTTTGTACTTTGCCTCCTTGCCTTCACATCTACAACTTCCACCACCAATCACCTAGTCTTCTGCTTCCGCATGCCAGCCGCCATCAAGCTCACATCCACCCCTCCCAATCTTCCAATGGAGCCATGGTGCAGATCTGATATCACCCTCCAGCGCTTGGAGGGCCTCGTCCGCCGCGGTCTTCTTTGCGCGTGGACCGCAGCCGAGGAGTGGCGGCTGCTCGGCGATGAGGATGCGCCGTCGCCGCCCAACGGCTATGTCGTGTCCTTCGCTCACTTTCATGAGTGAGGATTCACCACCCCTACCCACAAGTTTCTTCAGGGATTGCTGCACTACTACAAGGTAGAGCTGCAGCACCTTAATCCCAATGAAATCTAGCACATTGCGGCGTTCATCGCTCTGTGTGAGGGATTCCTTGGGATTAGTCCCCACTTTGAGCTGTGGTAGTATTTCTTTGCCGTCACCCTCCTGAAGAAGCGGGAGAAGAGGCAGGAGCTGAGCGTGCCGATGGGATGCGCCGGCATTCAGCTCCCTAACAATTAGGTCAACAAATATCCACCGATGCGTCTATCAACCTCCAACAAGGGGTGGCATTCGCATTGGTTCTACGTCAAGGACAATGTAGCCGCCCCCTTGCTAGTGTTCACCAGGCGACTCATCGAAGATATCCCAGAATCGTGGAGGAAGTGGGGAGTCCTAGATAAAGACAAGAAGAAAATCTAGGACCATCTCGTCGCCATCCAAATTCTAAAGGAGAGGGGCATGAAGGGGTCAGGGATCATCGGCGCCTACCACATGCGGAGGGTGGTGCCGCTGATGAGGTGCGCGCTTCCCCTACACATGATGGTGCCCGGGGCATCACTCGAGGGGATGGCACTCGCCAAGGGAGCGCTCTCTCCCTCTGAGGTAGCACAACGCATCAAGGAGGCGATGGAGCCATCCTCGAGTTCATGTATCCAGTGCCGGGGCATCCTCTGATGCGGCCAGAACCGGGGCACATTGTCCTCGTAAGTTTCCTTTACTCATGACTCCTTTTTAATTGAATTCCTGACCCCTTGATGCTAACATCGGGATGGGGGGACCAGCCGAGGAACCTCGCCCTTATGGACCACCTAGTCCCACTACTGAAGGACCCAATCGTGATAGCGGCAAATCATGCCGCGGCCGAGTGGCAGGGGAAGACGAAGGAGGTCGAGAGGAAGAAGAAGCAGCAGAAGCTGCTGGCATGAGACCGAGGAGAGGAGACAGATAGTGATGATGACGACGATGGGGAAGATGACGAGGTAGTTGCCAACACTGAGCGGGGTCACCTGGAGAGTGAGGATACGCTGACAGGTACCCGCTCGTCCATGCAGGGACCCTTCTCATTTCATGTAGGGGGAAGCAAGCCCATGAGGTCGGAGGAGGCGGGCCGGGCCATCAGCCCATCCTCAGAACCAGTAGGGGTGGACGGATCTACTGCCATGCATGAGGTGCCATCGGTAGGGAGTGGCCCCGCGGCCATGCCTCAAGAGGCAGTAGGGGTGGGCAGATCTGCCACCATGCCCGAGGTGCTGGTGGAGGGGGCCAGCTCCGCTGCCGTGCCCCATGAGCTGATAGGGTGGGTGGATCTGCCGCCGTGCCTGAGGTGCTGACGGATGGGGGGTGGCCCTACCACCATGCCCCCAGAGGCAAGGGAGGCAAGCCCCTCTGCTCGAGAGCAGGAGGCAGGCTCAAAACGGCCCTGCTTCGACGAGGTAGAGTAGGGACCTAGGGGTTCGTCCCCCAAATGGCCTCACTCGACAGCGTCGATGAAAGTCACTAGCTCCTCTGCTTTTTCTCTATTTTCATCGTAACTCATGCTTTTTCTGTTCTTGCAGTGTCTTGAGGTAGCATGATTTTTTGGCAGTGGCACCCAAGAAGAGCATCGCCATCCAGGCGAGACGGGCCATCGCCTAACATCGCTCCTGTTTTGGGCAGGAGCGGAGACGGCGTCACATCATCGTCGGCCGGTCAGGCACCGCCCATGCCCTTAGTGGGTCAAGTGAACGCTGGGGCTAAAGTAGTGCCCTCGGAGGTCGCCGAGCAACCGGCGACGGAGGTGATTCCGCTGCCAACGTCGGGGTAGATGGAGCTGCCGCTCGCGCTTGTGGCACCGACTGCGGTGGGCGCAACACCGCCAGTCGAGGTCTAGTTGACACAAGCGGAGGTGGCCATGACTGTGACAAGCTAGGCGTAGCCGGGTGCAGCCGCGGTGGTGCCTGAGGAGACGGCACGATCTGCGCCACTGGTGGCGCAAGTGACAGCGCCCGACATGCTCTAGATGGAGGGGGACATGGCCGAGGGGTCCCTGAGCGTCGTGGTGGTGGTGGAGAGGATTGGCGGGGAGTTGCCCTTGGCCCTGACACTGAGGGGCAGCTAATTGTCCATGCGTGGCGAGTCGCTGCTCCAGTGGATGGGTCCACAAGATCCAACGTCGATACTCTTCTCGCTCGACGATGCTACTGAGCGCATAGAGCGGGAGAGTCTCAACAAAGGAATCTTGGCCATGATGGAAGTCCTAAATCAGGCTAGGGGCGTCCTACACGACATCGTCATTCCTACTGGCTGGGTATCCACTTAACCTTTCCTCTCGCTTTCTTCTTTCTTTATGTATTTTGGTATTTTGACATTGATCTTCTTTAAAGTCCCTTATTGCTCGTAGCCAGGAGAAATCCTGGTTCTTCCGTGAGCAGAAGGAGAAATGGGACCGTCTCACCGAAGAGGCCCGACTGCATGGGGATGTGAGTGCCTAGCTTGCCGTCACCCAACAGAGGGTGGCCGAGCTGACTCCCTCACCGTGGAGGCTAGCAATCTTTGACGGCGGGAGGCCGAGGCCCGCCAGGACGTGGAGGACGCCGAGAAGCCTTTTGAGGAATTGTTAGAAAGGGCACGGTGAGATGAGGAGGAGGCTACCAAAATCTAGAAGGAGTGGGACAAGCTGCTCTAGAAGGATGCCGAGGCCTGCCAGCGAATCCTCGACCTCCTGGCCGAGGCCGAGACGGAACGGGAGCTCAAGCTGGTAGCCGAGGAGAGGCTCATAGCCCTTCAGCAAAGGGCAGGCCTAGACACTGAGGCGATAGCCTGGCTACTCAAGGAGTGAGATGAGCTGTGCTAGACTATGGAGAGACTCCGCTCAAAATGTGGCGTGGCCCGCGAGGAGCGCGACTAGGCCATCCGAGAGCATGACCAGCGCCAGCGGTGGGGTTCAGCTCCCTCACTACAAGAAATCTTAGGATCTATGACGACCTATTATCATCATTATTTCTAGTATTTTCGTCATAGCAGATATATTTATGACTACTGCATGACGATAAACCATTTGTCATAGATCATGCGTGGTAAACCTAGTTCTATGACGGCTGCATATTTTTTCATCATAATTTTTTGACGACTTGATTAAAAAGTCGTCACTAAATATCTTAAGGCCTAGCTAGGCCCATGTACTAAGCAGGTTTTTATTGGACCAAATATAATTGTGAGCCAAATTTATACTTTGCAAAGCCCATTTATAAGTAAAGTTGTCAAACTCTGGGCCAATTTTTTTTTGCGGCCTATTTATTTAGTGGGCCAGAAAAGGCCTAGCCCATTTATACATGTTGAGAAAACAGCCTTTTTAGCATCCATACATAATCAGCTCATTTCAACTTTTTTTGGGCCAATTTTTTTTGCGGCCTATTTATTTAGTGGGCCAGAAAAGGCCTAGCCCATTTAAACATGTTGAGGACAGCCTTTTCAGCATCCATACATAATCAGCTCATTTCAACTTCTATTACATAACAGCCCATTTCGGCATCCATTACATAACAGCCCATATATAATCTGTACATTCATCAATCAAAGCCCTTATGCATTCATCAAATCATCTAGAATCTCATTCATATATATAATCCGTAGATGCATCACAACTCATACACATTCATCGATCATCCAGATCGCATTCCAAAGGATAGATAAATATGGTCACATCCATCAGTAATTTTACAAATCCCAGATAACACATTTCCACATAGCAAAAAGACAACACTAACAAGATACATAGCAGAAATTAATATGGTCTGAACCAGATCAGACATGTCTCAAAATAACAGCACTACCAATGTTTGTAGCATAATCTGAACTAGATCAGCCAAGTCTCATATAATAGCACTACCAAATGTTTGTAGCATAAAATAATATGGTCTGAGTAGCCAAGTTCCAAAATCAGACATCCAACCATATGCATCTGCAAACTTACAGAGTTAAAGGAATGGCCTTACTCTTTGCTGAACATGCGACGAAAGAAAGCATTCGTCTCGTCTTGTGCCTTCTTCAACTCATCTTGTGCCTTCTTCAACTGCTCTGTCTCTTCTAACAGCCTGCGTCTTTCATTTTCTGATTCCTCCACCTTCTTCTTCAAAGTCTCCATCTCATCCTTTAGTTCTTCTTTGTCTTGCTTTCCAGCTGCAACTTCTGCTTCAAGTTCTATAACCCGTGCATCATTAATGGCTTTAGAGCTTCTCTTGGGGGCTGCTAGCTGAAGGCCAATATTTTGAAGAAATTTTGATTTCGGCAATACTTGAGCAACAACTTCAGCAGGGGTCTTTACAACTTGGCCGTCTTCTACAGGTGCAGCAGCAATGGATTCCATTTCAGCCTAAAAACATCAACATATCAATAAGACAGTTCTGAAATTAATTACCGACTAATATATTTAAGACCAACAGAAAGGTGGTCATAATTAATAGTAGTGTTGCTCAAATAAGTGAATGCAAGCTTTGTAAAACAGATGTACAATCAAGGTTCACATTAAAGGCCATTTAAAGCACGAAAATATTTTTCCAACTGAATATTTTACCATAATTGAGCATGACACAGATGACTCTTTCCGATTCAATATAGTGAGATCATTTATGCTACAAACTATTACACTACAGTTTGGAATGATGACTCATTACAGTACAGGTTAGGAATTTAGGAATATTTCTGTTTTGGCAGTGTCTACAAGTTTACATGTGCTATTAAGAGAGTTTCTCGACATCAGTGACATCATGCAGTACAATCTTGCCAGATTAGCATGAATAAGCTGTTGTTACACATGCAACAATTGATCATTGTTCCTTAGAACAGCAGAAAGCATGTACAAGTTGCTGCTACACATGAACAGGAAGTTGCTGCTACACATGAACAAGTTGTTGTTCTGTGTCTCACAAGTAACAGCAGGAAGCATGTACACATTACAGACTCAACTAAAACCAGTAACATTTGTTCATATATATATATATAGTTCAAAATGGAGCTTGTACTTACAATAGCTTCCTTTGCAGACTCATTAAACCCAGTCTTGCTGCTGCAATGTAGGGCCTTGAAAAGATCTATCGCACTGGGTGGTTCATCTTTATATTTCTCTTGCTTCTAAAATTATTCACAAACATTTTGTAGGTGTAAGATTATAAGAATAATTGTTCAATGATGAATGATTGTAACACAATGTTTCCATATCTTACCAAGGCATGGGTTGTCGCAATATAGCACCGAGATCCTGTCATCTGATGAAACCTTACTTTCTCACGGTTAAGTGCATTTTTTGCACACTTGTCCTGTGAGGAACAATTTAGTAAGCAGGGAAGAATGGCTATAGAGAGAGATAAAAATTAGATGAATTTGAAACCAGATTTGCTAAGATATTCAACAAACATCAACACTCTTTAAGTGTAGTTGAATTTATGTCCACAACAAGTTATTAACCTAAAACAGTTTGAAAAACAGAAAGTAATCACAGCCAAAGATTGTGCCCTGTTCTAGAAGACCAACTGCAACACAACCCTATATGTTGTCGCTAAAATATAATGAGCTGCAGTTGTATTGAGTGCAGCCCAATAGGCTCATTAATATCTAATGAGCACATAATTATCAGGGTAACAAGCCAAGTAACTTCAGGTATAATTATAAGGATGGCCTACTATATACAGTCCAATATAGCAGAGCTACAGAATCTTAGACACAATCAAATTGGTGTACAATACGAAGAAATAAACTCAAACATGCAACAAACCAATGCAAGAAAAATAAATGGCTTAAGAAAGCAATAGACCAACATGCCTTGTGCTTTGGGCTTGACCACATCTCCACCAGCTCTCTCCATTGATCATCAGTCATACTCTTCAATGGTGATGTTGTTCTAACTTTGTCTGCTGGTACACCATTGAAGTAAAGCTTCTTCAAATTGTACCTCATTTGTCGTGTTCCAGTCCTGAGCAAATCAGCACATGCCTCTTTGACTGGCTTGCTGTCAGTATCAATTGCTAATTGATTCTAGTCAACAGCATGTCAAGAGCATGTGCATCAGAAAATAGGTGTTAGAAGTATATGATGTGATAGAAAAATTTTAACATTAACCTGACAGGAAACTTTAGAAAATCACAATGCAACAGCAGGCAAGAGCACAAGGTTCTAAATTGGCAGTCAATAGAAAAGTAGCAGGGACAAAATGTTTATAGAAGGTTCTAAATTTTTAGAATGTGGTGAGAAATAGAGAACATACTTTCTTGCTTTCCGCTTCATTTCAGTTTACTATATATTGGCAGTGGCACTAAAAATAAACAAACATACCAAACATTTCAAGTAGATAATACTACAGATAAACTTTATGGTGGTGCTTACAGCTGATGTAAGTTAAACGGATCATTACAACATCAGTCGGAATAAAAGAACATGTAAAGATTGAGGCAGAAAAATATATTGGCAGTCCTAGCATAATGTTAACAGTTAAGCTCCTTGTCATATGCTACTGGAGGCAGAAAAATATTACTCAAATATAGGAGTAAACATAGATCATGCACACCCGATAAAAACTGAACATATAGCCTTTATCCACTTACAGAAATTTTGCCCATGTAGCCTGGAAGAATATCCTTGTTCTTGATATCCTTGTACTCCTTCCAGTGTGTAAAGATTGGTATATGTTGCCTCAGTATAATCCCCCCCTCTGATGCCAACTTTGCAGCTTGCATAGGCGGCTCAGGTCGTTTCTTCCCTTCAGCAATGACCACCGGAATCCTAGTGTTTAAGCCTCGGCTTATGCGATCCAAGTCTCTGCCCATGCTTTTTCCTTTATTCCATCGATCTATAGTGTGATTTGATTGACCTGTAAATAAGTGGCATTGTTAAATAGCTAGTGCAAATCATTTTAATATGCAAATGTGTAAACCATATTCTTGGAGAAAGGAGTATTGCTTTCTTGCCTTCTTTGCGCATTTCTGTATCATGGTCAGTTTGGTTAAGACAATTGGCAATAGTCAATGCATCTTCTTGTATAGTTGTAGTTGCAGTATGGACGCCTTCCTCGCTTCGAATCAGTTCCTTTGTCCTCTGCCTAGTCACTCTAGGAGGTTGATTTTGGCCTTATTCATCAGGTGCTCGCACTCTCTTTGAACCTCTTGCTCCTCCATTAGCAACGATGGTGTCGCAAGGCACATTCTGTGAAACCTGCATAACCTCATATGCATAACACAAGAAAACAGAAATCAAGATTAATCTTTTTTGCATACTGAACCAGAGTCATACAAAGAACCTGAGTTCAACAAATACCTTATCAACTACACCCTCTTCACTACCATCATTATCTCCAGGGTCATACAATGAACCAGAGTTTTCACGAGCCATAGCCTTCTTAGCTGCAGTGGTCTTGTTCAAAATGTCCTTTGTTGCATTAATACCAAGGGACTGAAACTCACGATTGTTCCTCATGATCGTTTCAGCCCTTACTCTTTCACATTCAGTGGCTGGCGACTCTGTGAATGCAGGAAAACGGATCAACGTCAATAGCCTCATCAAAGATATATTTCCTATTAGAAATGGCGCCTATCAATGAAAATGCAGCTTGAAGCTACGTCAGTCCTTTACACACTGGAAGGACTGCATAGGTAAAAGAACACGCCGGGTAACAAAAAAATATCAGAGCCTGATAAAAGGTCTGAAAATCAACTGATTCTTTGAGGATCAATACATTACTACAATACTAGAAAATATTTGCTGCAGAACTGGAACCAGGCTCTAAACTTGAAAAGCACTTGCCAGGACTTAATATATAGATGAATTCATTCTGTTAAGGTACTACTAAAAAGAATAGCTTGCCACATAACAGGAACCAAGCTTTTTAACTTTAAAAACACATAATCCCCGACAAGAACCCTATGCTAAGATCCAAGAAATCTGATGATTTTACCTGCTGGTTGCCGTCTGCTTGCTGCCAACTTCCGTGCAGGAGGCATCGTGTTCAAAGGTGTAGTGAAGGAGGACGCTGCAGATGTTGGAGCAGGGCACGTTGTCAGCTCGAGATTCGAAACAGTGGGCTCGTCGGCTATGGAGAGGATGGCGAGTGCAGCGTGGGGGACGGGACCGAGAGGGAGGGGTGCGAGTGCGGAGTGGGGATGAGAACGGCGGCGAGTGGGAAACCCTACCCGCGAGTGGGGATAGGAAGGGTTCCGGGACTGAGGATTTTACATCCTTGCCCTTTGATACAGCATTGAATGTCCTAGGCATGTTTGGATAGAAAGGTCATTGCATCCTAATTTTTTTGGGTCCAGGCGCCTCTAGACCAAATCTTGGCGCCTCAGCCAAAATATGGCGCCCATTGCCTAAATCTGATACTATTCTTATTGATTGCATACGATAAAATCAAAATCAGAAATCGATACTCACCGTGACTCCCGTGAGCTGTGTGCAGTAGGGGCGGGGCTGCAAGGGCGCTGGGACCTGAGCAGCGGTGTAGACGCTCGGGGCAGTGGGCACTGGCTGGCGGCCGCGCACCTGGCAGCGCCCACTGCCCAGCCAGGTGCTGCTGCGCCCAGATCCCAATCAGAAGCACAGAGAAGATGTGGAGAAGGAGGAGCTCGCCACGGAGGAGCACATAGGCGCGGAGGCGGAGCTGAGGGGCGACGGGAGCATTCGTTGGGCGGCCGGGCGGCGTTCAATCGGGAGCAGCCGCCGGCGCATGTGCGAAGACTCACGGACTCCCCAGGGAAGAACGGGATATTTATTCTTCATTAGTATTGAGTCCAAGATAAATAAATAAAAACACTAGCATAGACGTGAACACTTCTCTGGTCTGGTGGCTAACGCTACTCATTCACATGTGAGAGGTCCGAAGTTCCAATCTCTGTTGGGGTGTTTTGTTTTGCATTTTTTTGCGAATAAGAGTGCCGAGGCCAGCTGGGCTGCCCAGTGCCCACGCCGTGCGAGCGCTCCGTTGCAGGCCTGCTGGGCTGCCACCGCTTGGACACGAGCCCGTCTGGTTGGCCTGGGCTACCCTCACCTGGCAGAGAATACATCTACCTTAGGAAATGTTAGCAATCAGGTGTTGATGTCCTAGTGGTTAAGACTCATGGATGTTAATAATAGGATCTCAGGTTCAAACCTTGCCATTGTCTTAATTTTTTTTACTTTCTGAATCTTTTACCTCTACCTTAGGAAAAGTATTATACCTTTTTCATATCATATGACGGGACGAAGATGATTTTTTGTTTTTTATTTTTTGAAAATAACATTACATATAGAGCCCATTAAAATACAACCGATACTGGAACCAAATATCTCATTTATTATATGTAAATAAAAAGTTATAACAAACTAATATTGTCAATAATTTATGACGACCGCAAGGTAGCATGTTATGACGGAACATAGATCATCATAAACAAACTACTTCTCTAGGTTATGATGATTTTTATTGTGTCTTAATGACGAACACATTATTTTTGTCAAAAAGTCATTCTCCTCCTTAAAGTCGTCATAAAACAGAATGACTTATTGACGAATTGACTCATCGTCACAAAAAAATTGTCATAAATCTTCATATTTCTTGTAGTGCCTCTAGGCCGATCTTGGAACCCGGTAGCCTGAAGGCTAGAGGCCAAGGGTGCCTGTAACAGAACCGCCCAATTTATACAAGATCAAGTATGCATGTCCCCGCTAACACGTTGACACACACATACCTTCACTCATATAAACCCGGTAGTCCGCCGAGTGTCCCAAAAGACCTCGGTAAATCAACATCACAACCAAGATCGCGTGATTAAGCAAATACACATCACATACGCAGGGTTGCAGCGGAAAATAATATTACAAATGAATTCAAAAATAATAGTACAAGTTTGGGTTTCAAAACCGATTAGTGAAAACAACATAGCTTTCAAAAGATTACATTAATATATGTTCCAAATACATTGCTAGCATAAGTGACATCAACCGACAAAAGCATATAGATGAGAAGTAACTATAGAATCACCGAGCCCATCGACGGTTAGCCACCATCTTCACAGGCCAAGAACTTCACCTGCAACATGGTGGGATAAACCCCAAGTACGAGAAGGTACTCACTAGACTTACCCAATCAAAAACAAAACAAATGACACCAAGGGTTATGCAAGGCTTATGAGGTGGGCTAGCTTGACACATTTGCATAAAAGAGCTTATGAGCATAGTAACCAATTTAAACTTAGCATCAAGCTTATCATCATTTACCATCCACTAGATTAGCACCTGTATTAGAGCACTCACTTATTAGGAGCAATCAATATTAACCATAGCAGGTATAATAAGGTGTCATCATCATATCATCATTTCCAAACCATTAAGTTATTAAGTGCATCTACATTGGAGATAAGCCCGTCAAGTTCTCACTAACCGGAGAGAGACGGCGATTCAATCGAATTACAACTCAAATGAGGGGTATTCTAACTCTCACCCTAGCATACTTTGCAAGGGTAGCCGTGGGTCACCTTTGGAACATCTTAGGAACCAAATTCACGGGTTCGATCAACGCCAAGACTCGTGGATTACCCTTCTACCAGACGATCGGACTTTTAAATCACCTTGCTGGACTCACGCCTCGGCTCCCTTCCGAGGCGCACTTTATACTTATCGACTCCCGGCCGAGGTGAGCTACTCGGCTTTGTGGTCGGTCTCGCACCCGCCAACTAAGAGAGAGGCATCGTTCAACATGAACAGGAAAGGCTCCAAGATTCAGTCCTTAATCGACACAAGCACGAGTCACTTTAAAACCGCAAGCCTCCGTCCGGTCTTCATTTCCAATTTAAGACTGGTTCTTTTCCACGATAGCAAATATAGCCAACCGTGCCATATGTATCTTCCTATCTCTCGCAGGTGACAGGAAATCACCCGACTTCTACCATGTTTGAGCAGGGCTAAGCACTACGAGCCTGAGCTACATAGGATTCGTGGTATCAATATCTGGACAAGGATTGGATAACCAATGCAGCACAAGTGTTTGCATCCAACACCTAAACTTAATGCAACAATATATATATGTAACAATAATCATCAGAATCGCATTTCGAAATTAGGAGGCTTAATATGCTCCGGGGCTTGCTCGGGATCCCACATCGAGTCGGTGTTAGTTAGACGACACTCGCTAAGTGAGCATCTCCGTCCTAGCACTTGTCCAGTCCTTCCACCTTCGGATAGGTCCACCATACACCGCGTCTTGGGTTCGGCTCCCACATCTCATCCTTCACGTGGTGCATCTAGCGCATACCTAGATGAGATGCAATATGCAAGTGCATAAATATGAAGAATAGCACCATGAGACGCATCACAAAATAGCAAGCAAGACAAGCATAGTTTACACTAACACACTTAAGTACTTTGCGATGCTTAACTTAACATCACACAATCTATCATGCTAAGATAACAAAGAATATTATGCATGGCACATAAGTCTCACAAGATCTCAGGTGTATTTAACTTAATTACTAAGGACGTGAACCACACCTAGCAACATGCAAAGCAAGTCAAGGTGAAGCAACAACTATAACCGGAATATGCCAATTTCTAGACTTGCAAACAGTGGCTTCATAAATCAATCATATCTGGAGTTTTATAAATCCAAATGATATGAAACAAGACATTTTGGAAAGCTTAGGAAGTTATCTACATTTCATCTTTAATCATCTCAGCATGATTCCCAAGTTAAGTAGGTCGAAATTATACATTTACAGAAACTGGTCCCCAATTGACAGAGAGCAGCCATTTCTGAAACCCAACTTTAAATAGGCATAACTCACAAACTACTTGGTCAAATGATACCAAATTTTAACAGCAGCTAGATACATGAATTATCTACAACTTTTGTATAAACAAGTTTCACAACAAAGCACATTATCATGAAGAACTTTGCTAAGTTCCCAGATCTGTCCATAAACCACATTTGCAAGAAATTAAATATTAACTTATGTTGCAAACACATAATTAGACAAAACCAACTTTACCAACATGTCACACATGACTAAAGAACACCAGAAAACCTAGTGTCCATGACCAAATAAATTCTTTTAATGCATTTCTTAATTTATTTTAGATAACAAGGTGACTTAATGAACATATACCAAAAGTATACAATAAATTCTACAAATATTACAGTGGCTCACATATCCTCTCAATAGTCTACTGTACAAATTTCACTCCATTTGAATATGTATAGCAACCTCTATGAAAAAGACAAGTTGCTAAAGCAAGAAATCATGTGAGAGCAAGATAAACCAATAACTCACTCATACTTCATCCAATACTCATGAAATTTTTACCACACATCAACTATCACATGAGTAGCATGCCACAAAAATTTCACTTCATTTGGAGCCCTAGATCTATAGTTATAAAAAAGACAAATACCACTAGCATTACAAACCTAGCTGCATAAATATATTTTTACAGCTAAAACTTTAAAGTAAAACATGTAATATTATAGATCTAGTGCATAGAGAATTTCACAAGGATTCCAAAAAGTCCTCATTTGCTATTTTACGAATTTTCTATGAATTACTATGAATTTCCAAAGATTCAGCAAATTTACTACAAATAAGTCCTTATCGGCACTATTCCTTTGAGTCACTGACTTTGCAGAAGGAACCCTCCCTTTTCTCGAATTCGAGCGCGAAGTCCTCCACGGGAATCAAAACAGAGGAGGCCGTCGGAGTTCGCGGCTCCGGCCGTTGGGGGCCATGCCGGCATCGGGGAAGTGGCGGTGGAGCAACAGGGGACCGCTTGGCTCGGCCCGGGGCGGCCCGGTCGGCCCGCCACGCCTGAGCCATGCTGTTCATGCGGCGAGCACGGCGACGAGAGTAGCAGTGGGCGGCGGTGAAGCTCCCGGAGGCGGCGGGCAGGGGACGAGGCACCCCTTGTGCACCGTGGGTGCCCGCGACTCGGCCTGGGATGGCCTGGCTAGAGCCAGCAGCGGCGTGGCTGCTGTGGC